TGTGTGTGTGTGTGCGTGTGTATTATTTACATATATTATATATATAAAATCCAGCATCTGGTCGGATTTGTCTTGATCGATGGCTTCTTAAGCCTCTGTCTGCAACTGCCCTCAGCTCAAACACTTACTTAAACATAAAGGAATCACATTCCTGAGTCACCTAAAAATCCTGAACACAAAAGCAATTACTTGCCTTTGTGGGTTGAGCTTCTCATTTGTTAGATTGTTCATTTCGTTGTTAGTGCTTTCCTTCCTTTATTCTGTGAAAGCTACTCATGTCTCACTGCTGATTGTTTCCAACAGCACCTCTGCTCACTTTGAAAATAGTGACAAAGAACAAACCAACAGAGAAAGCAGGGCTCACAACTCACAGATGATGTGACGAATGTCTAATGAAGTTACAAGCCCATGCAAATAATACGATGTTAGCTATCTATTATATCACCAACTGATACACCAGCTAATGAAATGTGAATTTGTCCGTAACCCAATACTTTCGCTGGAACAGTATTACCTACAATTCAGACCTGATATACCATGTCTGCATTGCGTTAATTAACCACAAAGACATTTTTTCATAACCTTTTTACCCATTTTTTTAACCAATAAGCCAATAATTCTGGAGCTGGCTGTATTATAATACTACTACAAAACTGCTTGACTTCATCATGCGTTTGAAGATGGTCACTACAACCAGGGCTTTTGGCATAAACAACTCTCCAGAAAGCCACAAATCTGGCTGTGTTGTCATCCCACTGCTATACAGCCTGTTCACCCACCACTGTGTTACCAAGCATGACTCAAACCCCTTCACCGGCTCCGCTATCGTCACTGCACTTGTGGGCTTGATGACACTGAAACAGCCAACTCAGAGGAGATACACCTCCTCTTCTTTTATTAAAACATATGACAAGACTGGGACTTTAAACATAGAAGAAGTGTCAGTGGAAAGAGGGAACCTTACATTCATAGGAATGGACATTATAGGATGAATACATCTGACTCCACTACTTACAGTACTGTTAAAAAATTCAATATCTTTATCAAGAACTGTTATTTTATTAGCTTATGAATGCAATTTAAATTAGCTGGTATTAAGGTCACATACCACAAGCAAAAATTATGCTTGTAAAAATATATCACAAATGTTTTAATTTAATTATATAAATACTTTGGTTTTATACTTTTATCTCAACTCTACTTGGCATTTGATTCAATTCAAAATTGCAAACATCTGATTTTTTTTTTTTTTAAGTGTGTCCCAGTAGCAGGGTTCATATTTAATTAAAACAAACAATCAAACAACCAACGCTTAAGGTTAAGGTCATGCCCATTTAAGGTTTGAATACCAATACAGATGCAAATATTTGGAGCACCAAACAGATACTGACATTGATACAGAATGTATCCTTGTGTTACACACCTAATTCATGTTGAAAGATTGTTTATTAGAGTTCTGTTTTTTTTTCTCAAGTTATGCTTATTGATCATTTTCTCATTACCCAAAGCAATAGTCTTATCCTTAAAAGAAGACGCATTCACATCATTTTACACATTGGTTCACAGGTCTTAAAGCCAGACTTTAACGTGGGGGTTTTCTAACTTCTTGAGTAGGTCTGACTTTGTTTCATTAAGTGACATTTTATCCATAAAAACTATGCACAACTTGTCATGCATATGAATGTTTTAGTTCTGTGAAATAACCAAAGAAAATAATAAACTTCACTGGTTGAAAAAATGGATTTTTGTGAAATCTTATGATGGAGACTTCCAACGGGCTAAATTTCATCTCATCTGAGTTAAACATTTGCCTAACAGGGCATGGCACCTGGCCACCTGAGAAAACTTATACAGCTGTTTGAAAGATATATGAAAATGAGATAGGGCAGTGGTGGCTCAGTGGTTAAGGCTTTGGTCTACTGATTGGACAGCTGTGCATTCCCATCATCACCATGGTGCCACTACTGGGTCCTTAAGCAAGACCCTTAACCCTCAACTGCTCAGCTGTTTCCAGTCTTAATTGTAAGTCGTGCTGGACAAAATCATCAGCCAAATTAGCAAATGTAAATGTTTATGAATATCCTGTTCATACAGGTTCCCACTGGCGTCTTTTAGTGGCAAACAACTGATACTGACTCATATGGTCTGTAATGCATTGTACATTATTACTGCCACTGTTTTCAGGAAACTGACTTACACTATATGGCCAAAAGTTTATAGAAACCTGACCATAACACTGATATGTGGGTCTTCCTCAAACTGTTGCCACCACGTTGGACACACAATTGTCTAGAATGTCTCTGTATGGTGTGGCATTACAATTTCCCTTCACTGGAACTAAGGGTCCCAAACCTGTTCCAGCATGACAATGTTGCTGTGCGCAAAGTGAGCTCCATGAAGACATCATTTGCCAAGGTTGGATTGGAAGAACTTGAGAGCCCTGACTTCAACACCACTGAACACTTTTAGGCCACAGGACTTCTCACTTGACATCAGTGTCTGACCTCGCTAATGCTCTTGTGGCTGAGTGAGCAAATCTCCACAGCCACACTCTAAAATCTAGTGGAAAACCTTCCCCGAAGAGTGGAAGTTTTTATAACAGCAAAGGAGATACTATATCTGGAATGGGATGCTTAAAAAGCATATATGAGTGTGATGGCCAAAAACATTTGGCCATGTAGTGTATTTCATGGAAGAATCATGCAATCTTGTTTGAAAAACATAATTTGGCAAACTTCATCAGAATTTATTAATCAGTTCTTGGTTGTGGACCAACTTTTAAGATTTCCAGGTTTTAATGATGAGAACATTAGGCTCTGGACACATGAAGCCTGTAGCGTACTATTAGAGCATGCAAATGCCAGCAAGCAACTGTTTGTCATGCTGTTTGTCATTGAAGTACTGAAGTATTCAAAATGATCAAAAAGTATTTGATCTACAGATGCTACAGTTTCTACACAGCACAAACTCTCTCTAAAGTCTTTTAACTGTGGACTCCTACCTCTTTCTCTGCTAAAATAAACATCTTCAGATCTTTCAATACCTTGAAACATTGATGTAATACACACTCACTGACCACTTTAACAGGAACACGTGTACACCTGCTCATTCATCAGATTATCCAATCAGCCAATCATAAAACCTTGCAACTACAAAGGAAGAGCTTCAGATAATGTTCACACCAAACACCATAATTGGGAGAAATATGCGATCTCAGTGATTTTGATCGTGGCATGGTTGTTGATACTAGAAACTGCTGACCTCTTGGGATTTTCACACACAACAGTCTCAGAATGGTGGGGAAAAAAAACACCCAGTGAGCTGCAGTTCTGCTGAGCAGAAATGCCTTGTTGAGGAGAGAGGTCAAAGGAAAATGGCTAATAGGAAGGTTACGGTAACTCAACCAACCACTCTTTACAACCATGGTGAGCAGAAAAGCATCACAGACCACACAAGATGGTGGACCTTGAGGTGGATTGGCCACATTGGGTTCCACTTCTGTCTGTTGTTTACTGCCCACTGTGACTGTTACATATTAATGCAGATGTTCTGTGTTGTACTGAGTTGTTGTAGTATATCAACTGCTTTGCATGGCATAGAAACAAACTTTTTGTTATCCTGTACATCTGGAGTTTAGAGGTATTCTCTGTCCTGGTGTGTGGAAATAAAAATCGTCTGTAACATACTGTACCTCCAGCCAGCTTAAAGTCCCGCTGATTTTTCTGATGGTCCACGCTGACTCCACCTGCAATACACAACAGTCATACAGTATTACACATGAGGCATATCATTCAAAACACACACACACACAGGCTTACTCAGACTGACCACATCAAACATGTCTGATTCAAGTTCCAGACCTTTCAACAGCTTTGCCCTTTTCATAATGAGAGCAACACATTTTCACACCAAACACATTCACATATTTCAACAAAGGAAACACTATAAGGAAATCTGAATAGTTTTCCAGCTTTTGCAAGAGGAAACGAAAGAACATTTACAGTACTGCATGTCATACATGTGGGATGCATTCCAACAGATCTGTTTACAGGAGCTGCACCCTGGGTCTTTGCAGAATTATAGCTTCAGCTTCTCCAGTGCTTTTAAACGTGTGATTTAAAACTCATATCCCTGAAAAAAACACTATTTTCATACACTAACATATCTATTTTTATTGCTGGTATGTCACATCTGTTCAGTGACTCTTCTTTTTGTTTTTCAAAAATGCTGCGTGTATTTGAAAACGATAAAATACCAAGAACTCTGACGAACATGAACAGTCTGACAGCTGAGGTTTGAATTATATCACCAACATTCGACTTTGGACCCATGGTGAAACACACACACACACACAAACCTATAAACACAAACCTATAAAATACATAAACCTTTGGAGCGGAGGTGTAAGGATGGATATTTTGGATGTACAATAACTGGCAAACGTGGACATAAACACAACAGAATACTGGCTTCAGCATCACAGTAGAGGAGGTATGTCAAGGAGGTACTGTCTGTGGAAACAGACTAGAAGTCTGGGGCTGACCCATGGCCGGATTTATGCACGGACCAACCTAGGCTGTAGCTCCGGGTGATTAATGAAAACCTATGAATAAATAAATACTTAGACTTTCAATCCAGAAAGGAATATCAAGATCAAGAAATATTCGTCCAATATTTTGTTACTTTGTTCAAATGGGTGCTTTGATTTGCTTGGTTCATATTTGGTTTTGGTTTATTGGTTAAGGTTTGGGCAGTGTGAGTGTTACGAGCTTACACAAGCGCAATCTCATGTGCTTGTGATATTAGCTTGCTAATTGTCATAATGTCAGATTACAGAAAATATGATAGTTGTTGTTCTTTCGGCTGCTCCTGTTAGGGGTCGCCACAGTGGATCATTGGTCCACATGTTTGATGTGCCAGATGCCCTTCCTGGCACAACCCTCCCATTTTACCCGGGCTTGGGACCAGCACTGAGAGTACACTCCCAGTGGCTGGGTTGGTTCCCTGCCCAGGAATCGAACCCGGTCCGCGGCAGTGAGAGCACGGGATCCTTAGCCGCTAGACCACCAGGGACAGAAACTGTGATAGTGGATTCTACCAACATAATCAAAACTATCTTACTTCAAACCTTAGTTCAAAACTAACTTTTAAAAGTTAAGCACCTACCTTTGTATTCGATTTGAAGGCTTTAATTTGGACTTGCTTTATAATAGCTTTTGTTTGATGGGCCACACTGCTGTCTATTAACAATCTACGTACAATAGAATACGTTCTGTAGGCCGTGTTGAAAGGTTTGATTCGGCAAAGGTGGTGCCACTGCGTCAATTCTACTGTGGTTAAGATAGTTTTTCATATGCAGATATTTGGGTATTTCCGTTCAGTAGAGCATGAACGGCACGTCAAACTGTTCTAAGTCTGTATGGTTTGAATGTGACATCAGATGGAGAACCAATTACACCCGTTTAGTCACATCTAAAAAACCCCTCCTGATTTGGAGTTACAGTCAGAGTTTCTGTGTCACTGACACGTTAAGGACCATCACTAAAGTGCAGCAAAACAAAAAGTGGGAAAAGTTACCAGTGTGAACGATGAGCACCCGCCTAATTTCAGTAGGACCCACACTATTTGCATATATTTAACCTCATATTTGGAATGAACACATGGATTTGGAATAATTACAATTACTAATAATTGGCATTGACAGAAGAATAGAAAATTGTAATCAGGTACAATTAATGTAAGAAAGTGGCTATTATAAGAGTAGTTGCTATTATATCATAAATTGTCGGCTAATCCCATTCCATCAGGATATTTTCTGCAAGGCTGACAATATTGCTCTTAAACATGTTACACAATATTGTGCATCTTCTCTGAAATATATGACAACTCTTAATTTGGACACTTTTATGCTTTCTGGATCTCTTTTGTTGTGTGCTTATGTTGTCAAAATTGCTGTAATCACAACTCTGGTCTTTTATTAAGCTTGACATGGTAATCTCTCTTTCCATTTTATCTCTAACACAAACACACTTCTGTATTCTTGCCTTGTGATGGCTAATAATTATAACTTTAAGCTTTTCCATTGTACACTGTCTTTCTTTTTTTAATCTGTGACTGTGTGCTTCAGCTTCTGTGCTCTATATACTGTCCATAAGGGTTGCTTTTTTCTAGTTGGTGCAGTTGTAGATTCACGGTATGGTATAGGTATACAGCCCCAACAATGGCTCAAGCCCAGGGCCTCCACCACCCTAAGTCCGTTCCTGGGCAGAACCTTGATCTTAAGCAACATTCCACCAAATCAGCGACTCTTTACATCTGGGTAGGTTGGACTTACGTTGTGCTCTCCTTCTGTAGTGCGCACATCGTAGATGTAGGCCAGGATGATGTCCACTAGACTGAGCCAGACATGGTATCTGGTTGCCTTATCAAGCACATAGGAACGATTTGTGAACTTTCTCATTTGTTCTTTTTCTTCATCGGTGAAAGTGACAGCTGCAGAGAGAAAGACAGAAAGATTCAGGCCAATTCACATACAAGTTAATATTAATAATGCCACAGTAAGAGCATCTCAGCAATTTACGTGGCATCTTGGGACATTTAGCTAGAAAAGTTGAGTCTGTCTACAATGCTGCTTGCAAATGAACACATTAATCATAAATCATAGATTTACATAATGACTCAAACCGATATCTTGAATTAAACATTTAAGTCTAAATGCAAAGTGGTATTTTTATGTCTCTATAGAACGGCAATGTAATGGTAATGACACATCTTTCTGCTTAAATGTCTCTTTATAAACTGTACTCCGTGGCCCAGCAGGATGGGAGGATGAAATGTCGGCCCCAGGGGTGGAAGATACTTGCGTAATTATACTTAGTTACAGTACACAAGTACCATTTTGGAAGATTTATACTTTACTCAAGTATTATTGGAACTGAATACTTTTACTCAGGAAAGTAAACAAAAGAAAAAAAAATACTCAAGAATGAAAAACAGTTGAAAAATTATACTTTGTACTTCAGTACCATTTTTGGAAGATTTGTACTTTAACCATGTAATACTGAAATTGAACAATTTTTACATAATTCTTATGTAAGTAAATTCACAAGAGAAAAAACATTCTTTTTAAACTCCTTGTCAAGTACTTATTAAAAATGTAAAATGCCATGACTTTTTTTTTCTATTTGCTACACCCGGCTGTGTTCTCACTTTGCATTTCTTTTTTTAAAGACATCCAATCAAATTCACATCAATGTCAAATGAAACTGCACCCAACTGTGCTAATTGGTCTTTGAGCAAAGGCCAGCATCCTCCACCTGAGACCTATTCCTTTTTAATTACAACTGCTGCAAACAACGGACAAGCCGGAGAGTGTAGAGTAAGATAAGCATCCGTGTCTATACCTAGTAAGATGTTCTCGTTTGCTGGATTTACCAAAAATTCCATCCATCCATCCATCCATCCATTCTCTGTACCGCTTATCCCACACAGGGTTGTGGCGGAGCCTATCCCAGGAGACTCGGGGCACAAGGTGGGGGCACCTGGACCGGGTGCCAGTCCATCACAGGGCACAATCGCTCACACACTCACTACAGATGCCTGAAGTCCCACACTCCACCTAGCTAAATAGCTCTCATTTACATATCATGTGGGACAATCAAGATCCGATCACAACACAATGCATTCGAAATGCAGAAACTGACATTATTACCAGGATGTAGAAGCAAATTGATAGCAGGTGCATGTAGAAGAGAGAGAGAGAGAGAGAGAGAGAGAGAGAGAGAGAGAGAGAGAGAGAGAGATCGGTTCATTTGTTATCCTGATAAATACCCAGATACTGATCGGATTGTTGATGCAAGGTGTAAATTGGTCTTTACCTAGACACGGTGGTACCAAAAAGAGCTTTCAGGCACACTAATAAAATAAATTTATTATCATTTTTTATTATGATGTTCAGAGGGAAGTGGGAAATGTTTCATTTTGCTAAAAATCAGTTGCTGTAATGAAGAATATAACCAGTGAGAGAAAGCTGCACAGCACTCTTTCGTGTAAGAAGCAATCATTAAGCTAGTTACATAAATTAAAAGCCATATAATATTGGAAATCAAGCGTGCCTGTTTAATGATTTATTTTTCTTATTACAGATAGCCTGTGGCTCGTAACCCCCTATGTTTTCTCCATCTGTCCCCCAATAAAATAAGAGTTTGCTCACCGCTGTGACAGGCAGAAGTTTATCCCCGCAGCACCTCTTTCTCAAACTCACTTCAACACACATATTGTGCGAGTAAAGATGGATGACTGTTCCAGTGCAAGCGCAAAACAAAACACACACACACACAAAAGAAAAGTTGGACTCCTTGATGCAAGTTTATTGCTCAGAGATGGATCACTGCAAATGTTTAATGTGTGCAGCTGAAGTAAGTGCACGGAGAGGGGATTAATGAGTTTGACTGATGCCTTGATAATCCTACAGGGGTAGGGGGAGGGAGGGAGAGAGCGAGAGACAGAGAAAGAGAGACAGCGAGAGAGAGAGAGAGAGAGAGAGAGAGTAGTTTAAAAGTGATCTTCTCTCTGTCAGCAGTATAGGAGAGCAAGCTTCCCCAATACAGAGCCCTTGATATACACAGGCAACTGATCTGGGATCTGGAGGCCACTACACACACACACACACACACACACACACACACACACACACACACACACACACACACACGCACACACATACACACACATACACACACATACACACACACACTTCAAACGAGGCTGCTGGCTGCAGCTGGGTCTTGGCTTGGCCAGGAGCTGCTGGATTCCTGCAACATGATGACAGGAGCTCTCACTCTCACTCTCACTCTCTCTCTCTCTCTCTCTCTCACTGTCTCTCTCTCTCTATCTGAGACTGAGTGCCATTGTACAAAAAGAAATGATAAATGTTTGACTAGGTTTCCCAAGCCTTAGAGACAGGCTGGTGTAAATATACATTTGAAACTCCAGACACTTGCTAAAGAGAGCGAATAAATCATAGTAATCCCTTTTTAATTACTGCATATTGAGAATATCCTTTAAGAAAACAATATGACAGCTAGACTGTGGGGTTTGAGAAACGTAAACCAATCTTCTATTTTCAACACTGTTAGTCTGTGAATGATTTGGCCAACTGCAAAACCTGCTTTTGTTAGCCAACTGGAGTCAGAGCACTTGAGTTAAGACTGTCTGTCAGACAGGCAATTAGACAGCACTGATTTAGGTTTAACTCATACAGCCAACTAAAGAGAACCTGCTCTGTGAAGCATCCTGAAGTAAACATCATATTGGAAATCTGCTGTGTGTGACAAGCAAAACATAAGCTGCGATATTGATCTTTTACAACTGCATTAACCAGGGATACAGCATTAAAGTGTGTTCATCTAAATGCATTAACAACTAGGGGTGGATGGCAAAAAGAAGTGATACCACAATTTGACCATTTTAATACACAATGTTTAGAATTCCAGCAAAACAATGCCACTGTGTTTAAAATGTATCACAAGATACGATCAAATCAGAGTTATGACAAACCATAAATTGATTAGCTACACCACCAGGCAAATAAATGCTCCGATGTGCTTGACCAGTCCCATGTATGTAATGCAATAATGCATGGTGAGCTAGGTAATTGCATTAATACAGACACAAATGAGTCTATCAGTTGTGGTGTATGGGAACTACATATCCTTTTCTAAGACAGAGTCCAACGTTGCACATCTTGTTTCAGACCTACAGCTATTCAAGCCTGTAGGTTTGCAAGTGGCGCAACAGAAAAGCGGTCACCCTATCATCCGGAGATCGCAAGTTCGAATCCCAGCGTTGCCACAGCCACCCATGGATCCGTGAGTCTAAGAGAGCAAAACTGGCCATGCTCTTGGGGAGAGAAGGAGGAAATACTCTCTCCTCTATCAAGCCCAGCGACACAATCATTGGCGCCTGTGAGCTTGAGTATGCAGAAGTGGACGGATAGCGCTTTCCTCCAAGTGTGTTATGACGTTGCAGCAGGGTGGGAATTGGCCATGAAAGTAGGGAGAAAATGAGGGGCA